ATTCCCATGCGCTTTCATTGTTTCGTGTACACTATGGCATATCCTGTGAGAGCATTTCTCTGCACTTATTCCCACAATATGCTGACTCTGTAAACCGCTTAGAGAGGGCTGAAAGCCCTATGAAGCGGTATATAAGTCTAACTGCTATTGCTATTGCTATCTCTATTTGTTGAGAGGTAAAAGTTTACTTGCTCAGAAACACACGTGTGTGCCAGGGAGTATTTTCCTGAGGCAAATGATTGTGAAGTTCATTAGAATTTGACCTCCATTTATTACTGTCTATTACTTAAATCTGTCAGCCAAAAAATGGAGTCTCGCAGCATTCTGCCAAGGCAATTTGGCAAGATTTGCCTACATCAATAATTTCATTGCAACCCTGCGTCGGTTTGCTTGACAAACACATTAGGCTTGAAAAAGTATTTCCCCAACCATTTGGCAGGGAGTAAAAGCCGTACAGCAAAAAGTAAAATATTTTCCTTTTCCGACAATTTCTTTGGCCGTAGATAGTTTGTTGAGGTATGAATTAAGACGATGACTTTTCAAATCAGGAAATCCAGCAATGTGGAAAGATTAGCAGATTCCCTTCCCAGTTTTCTCTGAGAAAGCTAACCACTACCGCAGTGGTGGGTTTCTAACTGGTTTACTACCAGTTTGCTGAGAGACGGCGTTTTGTATGTGTGCAAACATTTTGCGCGCGCGCTGCTCGCTTTTTTTTGCCTCATAGCTGCGCACGCACAGTTTACTGAAAACTGTTCTGCGCATGCGCAGAAGCATGCCAGTGATGGGAGAAGAGATCAAGGAACCGGTTCAGGGTCATGGCAGGCTGGGGTCATTGCTGGTTTCAGTGACCCAGGCTGAAAACTACTACCGGTTCGGTCGAACCGGTCGATATCGGTAGGAACCCACCTCTGCACCACCGAGATGGATGCTAAAGATATGGAGCTGCACATATAGGTAGTCCTCAACTTACACCGGAGATTGTTTTGGGATGTTTTGCAGTAACCAATTTTTACCTTAGACTTATGACCATTTTTCACAGTCTAAGCCAAGGGTGTCAAACTCAAGGCCCGCAGGCCGGATCTGGCCCACAGGGTGCTTAGATCTGGACCGCAGGGTTGCCCTGGAAACAGTGAAGGACCGGCCTGCGGTGCCTCTGCTAGCAAAAACGGAGCTAGGGAGGGCCGCACACGGCTCTCCCAAGCTCCATTTTCGCTGATAGAGGACTGCAGGAGGCTGTTACAGATGAAAACCCATAGGCGCCCCCGACATGAGTGATTTCGAGCTGGCCACGCCCATCCCAACTACGGGCACCTGCCCCCCTGAGGTCAAACACAACACTGATTTGGCCCTCAATGAAATCGAATTTGATACCCCTGATCAAAGCAGAAAATACTTATTGTAAAACATCCCAGAACAATCTCTGGGGTAATTTAACATACCGTAAATTTAGGAATGTTTGAAAGCATGAAAATTGGGAATTCAGCACTGCTGTACTCTGCAATTCCCTATTCCCCTCATTTCCTTTACAATTCAGCAGCCTTCAAGCCTTACTGCTTGAAATGGCTCAAAAATACATATTTAAATCATTTTTTAAAAAAGTCTTTGGATCAGGGCTTCTCAACTTTAAAAAGTGAGGACTTCATGCCCCAGAATTCCCTTTTATGTCTGGCTGAGGAATTCTGGGAACTGAAGTTCAACATCTTTACAGTTGCCAAGGTTCAAAAAACACTTCTCTGGATTCCTATAGCAAGCTGAAGAAAAGTTTTAAAAAATGCAAACCCATTCTTTTGATAAGGAAAGGGAAACTAACATGTTATTTCAGTAATCTGAAGATATTTTTCTATTTATTCCTATGATGTTCTTAAAAGCCGATGAGGTAATGATGAGACTCATCTCTGCAGCAAGTCTTAAATTGGATACGGAAGTAGAATTAGGGCAATGTCTTACTCTGCATTTAAGCTACAAGCAATGTTGGACAGTACACCAGGTGTAACAGATGGCTCAGCTAATCCTCCATGAAGGTTCCAGCTCTTCCATCAAAATTCATTCATTCATTCATTCATTCATATACTCACACACTCCAGACTTAATTTTTCATGTTTAGAGATAGTGCCTTAACCATAATGATTATTAGAATATTACTGTTAATAACACCAGTGTGTGTTCCTCAGAGCCAACAACATATATTTGGTTTAGTGAAGGTTTCCTTCTTTAAGCATAACAAATTAAGAAATGAACATCTCAACTAATTCCAGGGTGGATTTGATATAAATCAAGTTGATTTAAATCACTAGTAAAAAGGCTTGATTTAAATCAACTCGATTTAAATCATATTTTTTAAAGAGCAACTGTCATCTCTGTCCCGTGGTGGCTCCTCCTTTAACCTGCTGTTGACTCACCAATATTGCAGACTATACAACCTCATGCTGCATAATTAAGCTCCATTTCATGCTGAATAAACTAAATTATGAATGTATCTTAAGTAGAAAACTACCTTTAGATAGATTTTTACTCCAAAAGCATTTTATTAAAATAAATTTAATTTTAAAAAATCCAATTTAAAATTTAAAAAATCCAATTTACATTTTTAAAAAATCCAATTTACATTTTTTTTTTAAAAAATCATCTATTTTTATCCACCCTGACTAACTCTATTTTTAAGGTTGGATGCCACCCGGATCTACTTCTGATTGATTGCTTCCTTCTCTTTGAATTTACAGAATCCTAAATCCATTTTCCTAACCATTACATCCCATTGGTGCCATACAGTGCATTTTTCTAATCCAAAGGTTAATCTCCGATTAGGTCTATTATCTAAGATGTTCTGCTCCTGCAAATTGGCATCACCACACACTGCTTTAGGAAGCGATTATCTTAATAATTATAACCTTAAAGGGATGAGGAGCTTCAATGACCCTGAGAGCAATGCTTAAGGTAGTACGAACGCCATCGTGGTCTAGATTAAAAGGCAAGGGGTGAAG